CTAACTCCTCATATTATATCAACGGTCAACCATCTGTACATCATTGTAATTACTTTAAAAGAAAAAAGAATGAAACTATCTACTTATACTATATGATGTGTAAGCGATTTTTGAAGTCCTATTAAATGTAGCTTTAATTAAATACTTTTGAGATAATTTTTTAATATTTCTTTTCATAAGACATGATTATATTTAACCATTTTGGAAGGTGCTTCAACCCCGAAATGCCTCTCTCCCCCGTTGATCCACCTGTGTTGATGACTGATAAGCAACTTAAATAATGCATATATAACTGTGAAATAACAATAAAATGGGGCTGACAACATTTAAATCCGAATTCTTTCATATATTCGTAAGATTGATAACTGAGGAGATGGAAAAATAAATGGTATTCAAATTGGGTTAAAGAAGAGGATATTTGTATAAAACTAGGTAAAGAATTCCAAAACAAGGTAGCACGCATTATAAAGGATTTTTTTTTTAAAGGAAACAGTTTCATCTATGAGAGAGAATATACAGATTCGTGGACTGGGATTTCAGAGGAATGGTCAGAGGAACTAGAAATAATGAAATCAAGAAATTAAATAGGTTTCTTTGTTGTAAAGGGTAAAAGGAACTTTGGAAGTATTGCCGTCGGAAAACTAGACTCCATAGATGAATCTAATGAAACAATTCATTAGTTCAATCTAATCTGAAGTCCACCATACAAGTCACCGTATACAACCATAATTGAAGTGAGGAAAAATACTAGAGGAAACTAAAAGTTGGCCGATTTTTAGAGGCATAGAATCACGGAATCTCAGCAACTGTTTGAGAGTAGCAATAGATTTTCGGATAATTATGTGAAATATGATTATTCCAGAAAGAATAGAGTATAGAAGTTGGATATGCCACAGGAGGGTCTCCTAACCCCAGAATCGTCCGCTCCTTTTATAAATATATAGGTCATTCCGCCATTTGATATACATAATATCTTTAGAAGAATGTGGCTTTATTGTGTAATTTCTTATAAGTCGATTGGCACCATTGTGTGCTAGACACTTTCAGCTTGGAGTTAATAATTTTTATCTTTGGAGTAAATTCATTTTCACCGTTAATTTATAATTCAAATTGAGCCTCATAACATGAGTTGCCATCGTTGGTAAATAAATCTTTTATTTTAGCTAATATTAAGTTAATGTTTTACTTACTAATAAACTAATTATCCTAATAAGATACTATAAGTTATCAAGTCTTATGAGAAATAATGGGATCAGTTGTCAACACAAAAAAAAAAAAATGATAATTTCCCTTTTTCATAGGTTTGATCAATTTACCTTCCAATGTATGAAAAATTTTGTGCCCACCATGTAGTTTTGTGATATTTATTTATTTTTTTTTTTTTCATAAAAGATCATCTTGGTAAAGAGACTATGATACGTATTAGTAGAAAAAGGCCTTTTCAGTCTCGATAAATAATAATTTATTTTAAATTTATCCAAATTTTCTCCTCTTCAGACATCTTCAGGGATGATCTGATTTTTCATGTAATTCATATTTTCATCTGAAAAAAACATATGCAAAAATCTTTCAGAGGATTTACTATTAGACATTAGCCCATTTTTAAAACCATAATAACCTTAAAAACATTTTCCACTAATCAACAATATATATATATATATCAAAATATAAAACTTATTCGCTTTATAGCAGTTGAACCATTTGCACACTTAGTCAAAGTGGATTGTATTCTTTTTTTTCTCTCAATAATTGTTGCGTTTTATGTTGCTTAGTCCTGAAGAACACCCACAATTTCACCGAAACGTCAGAAGATATTAATGCAGTATTATATTACTGTAAATTACTTATCCTCAGCATGAAAAGAAATGAAATTATTATCCGTCTAACATATATTTAAATTCAGATGCATTATAGTATAACTTGATTATTTCTTTATCATGTTGATATCATCCCATGCACGTTTATAACATTTTTTTATACCGATGCGGGGGCATTGTGTTTTGCAGACGATTCGACTAGTTTAGTCTTACCCTCATAATAAAAAAAATATAGAAAGTCGCTCCTTAATGATGGGAATGTGGTCTGACCACAAAGAGTAGGCCAGTCTGTTTTTTATGTTTACAAGGAGTAAGAGATTTCCCAGCGAAGTATGGGAAAGAGATTGGCAAGAAGATGGAAATAATAGAAAACTATTAGCAATTTTCTCTGGCGCGCCACCTGTCCAGGCGTTATATATATATGGGCTATTCTTCTATTTCTTACAATTTTCAGATAAAAACTTGTATCATTATTTGTGTGATCATTATTTTTTCACGATTTAATTCAATATACCATTAATAATGATAATGGTTAAAATTCTTTCCATAGAGATCAGTTGTATTAAGATTAAACAATCACAAAAAAAAACAATTTTTACATTCATAAATATTTACTTTATTTTTTTCTACTCCATCCATAAAAAGTATTTTTTAAATTTTAATTTACTAATTTAACGCGCCCATCTTTTACTATTTTTCTTACAAACCAGGACAAAAATATATTTATTATGTAGAATATTTTAAAAATAAAATATGACTTATTTTTGAAAAACGACTATCATATTTATTGTTCATATAAAAGATCGTTCTTCTTTATACCATTGTTAGAATTCCTTAGGGTTGATTTGATATGGTAGTAGAAGTAAGAATATTCGGCAAGTTGCGGATTTTAGTCAGAAATATGACCTAATTTCCTCCAATGATATTGAGATAAAATAAAAAAGAATTGGTGACGAAATATTGACACACAAGTATATAATTATTATATAGTCAAATGTACAAAATTAACTACATTGCTTTAACTGTCTAGGTTTTTTTAAGCCGATATCACAACATACAAAAAGAATAGCTGTGCGTAAAATTTAGTCAGGAATAAAAATGGGATGAATATAAGTTGTATTTTACCGGCTAGATGCATAAATTGTAACGACCTTCATAATGATCCTTGCTTTATCGCGTTCAAAATATAAAAGGAAATTAAAGTTATACAAATTAACAATAAAAGACCATTACACGAAGAAAATAATATCTATATATAAAGAGAAAAACCCTAACATTCCTAGAAATGGCCCATAATCAAAACAACGTAAATTGTGGGATGATATATCAATCATATAAATTCTTATATTATTTGTCTAACTACAATTTTTCGATTTATGGTTTTAAGATAAAAAAAAAAAACTGTGATTGAATAATCAGGCTAAATTACCACTAATCGTACACGATCATAAAGCAACAAGAAAAAACCATTAGAAAAAGTTTTTATTTTTTTTATTAAGGCTAGAGGTTCGGTTCCCTTGTGCCTGACGCAAGGAAGCAATTGGTCACACTCCTAGACCCAGACTGCCTTTGATGTGCCGCTCATAATATAACAAACATACATTGTATATTATTTTTACATTCTATATTTACTTATTATTACATACTAAATTATGTTATAATCGGTATTAGGCTATTACAGAGAAGGTATTTAAATAAAAATTGAATAATATGTTTATTGCAAGAGAATAACTTACATAGAAATATGGTAATCAGAATTAATAGGATTAATTATTAAGCATGGCGACATTTCTGCTCAAATATGGGTTTCATCATCAGGGGTAAAAATTAAAAATATTCATACACCAGAAATATGAGATATAGACCGAAGTAAAGAAATAAGCAAATATAAAAAATGTTTATGTACTTCTGTCTATGTCTTATATTTTTGGCTTAATTTTTAGTTCTGAAGATGAACCACATGGTTGGTTCGAAACGTCAAAAAACTTATTAAAACAGATTTAGACTGAAATTTCTAACTCTTTATCATTCACATAATTATAAGACAAGTCAACGAATATTTCTTTTTCTCTCTCCCCTTCCTCATCTTTTCGGCTATTCGAGTTTTTCTCTTGACCAGGGGAAATAGGCGGTGGATTAATGCCAGAGTTAAAAGATCTCTCTCTTCCCTCTCTCTCCCCCGATAAAGGGACTCGAACTCGTAATTTCGGTTTAACAGGTTGCCAGGCCAAGTCATCACGATCTCTAGAGTTTTTGGAAATGCCAGAGATCAATCCTTACACTTGCAAAGCAAAGTTCATAACCCGATGAATATGAATGAGATGATGGCTATGGGGAAATTTAAATGTAATTGTTAGTTGTTGTTTGGTGTAATTGTTGGTCTTGCTGATGAACGTATTCTAAGAGGTTAATATGCGCTGTGCAGACTGGTAAGCGTCTGAGGGGTAGTGTTGCCCAAAATCGATCTTGGTCTTGCACTTTGCAAGTGCTAAAAAAATCGATGTTTTGAATAAAAACTGAGGCAAAATAGTTACTAATACTTGACAATTTTAGTTACTATATGTAAAGAATTGGTATAACTAATATACTTTTACATTTAGCTCTTATAATTTTTCATTCGGGCTTCGTTAGGTTTCTCATCTCTAAAAAATTACAGTAAAATCTCTATAGTAATAAGCTAATAGGTAACTGCAAGACTCTTGCGCAAGACCAAGACCAAGATCAAGAATGAGCACGCAAGAACAAGAATCATCTTGGTCTCACATTTGGGCAACACTACTGAAGGGTGAGAGGAGTTAAGTTCGATCTTGAGAGGCTGGACGGCGGTCCGTTGATTAATGGTATCATCATCGATCCTTTGTGTTCAATAAGTCATTATTATTCGAAGCATAGGAATATATTAATATTGTAAAACATATAAAAAAAATTACTCCTTTTGAAGTTCTGTAAGTACAAAGAATCTAGTCTCACGAAATGTGTGAGCATGGCCTTAGATGGAATTTAGTGCATGTAGTAGTGTTATCTTAGTTATGTTATCAGCATTGAGCCTTTGGGTTTACTCGCATCTTTATTCTAATAATAAATACTAGATAGATAGATTGATAGATATTTTTTATTTGTTTTGAGTGGGTTTCCCAATACAAAGTTGTGACAATTTGATACTAAGCCTGACCTCTGTTTCAGAAGGATGCCTTCGAGCGGAAGCGGGGGCGAAGACACCCCCAGGGAGGAGTCCTACCTGATGCACCGGGACTCGGCCTTCGTGCCCGTGCTGCCCTCTAGGGGGATGTACGGGCCGCAGTCGGAGCTGGTGGCGATGATGGCGGATAAGAGGAAGGAGCTGGCGCTGCACGCGGCGCTGCTTCCGCCGCCCCCCGGCTACCCCCTCTTCCCCGCCGCGCCCCCCTTCCCCTTCCCGCCGCCCCCCGGCCCGGCCGCCATGTTCCCCTCGGCCCAGGCCAACCGGCTGCTGAGGGCCCCCGGGCGGGCGGCGCGGCCCAAGAAGCAGTTCATCTGCAAGTTCTGCAACAGGCAGTTCACCAAGAGCTACAACCTCCTCATCCACGAGAGGACGCACACCGACGAGAGGCCGTACTCCTGCGACATCTGCGGCAAGGCCTTCAGGCGGCAGGATCATCTCAGGGATCACAGGTCAGTCATAGAATGTCTTGATATATTCCCAATATTATCTTGAACTTTTCAACATCAGTAAAACGCAAATTTTCGATCATTTCCTACATAATATTACAGAGTATGGTGTACGGTGGACTCTCGGGAGATTCCGAGGACAAACTTAAACGCCTAATGAATTGCGCACTACGATTTGTTTTCGGAATCTCAAGGGATACGCATATTACCCAGTATTCCTCTCTCATTTTCCCCCACTTTGACTATAGCTGTGTGGTGTATGATGGTCTCTCTGTGGAGCTCCGCGATAGACTGAAAAGACTAATGAACAGCTGTGTAAGATTTGTGATCGGGGCCCCAACATACTCCCATGTTTCTCACCACTACGCTGAGTTAAAGTGGCTTTTCCCCTCCTTCCGAAGACAATATTTCCTCATCAACATCCATAGTCCTTCTTACGCCTACAACCTTCTCCAGTTCAAATCCTCAGTCCATTCCCTATCCACAAGATCTCGACCGTCTAACCTTTACATGCCTTCTCACAGATCTGCTTCATTCCAAAATTCCTTTATTGTTCGCTCTGTCAATTTCTGGAATTCCCTCCCTATCAAAATTCGACATTCCCCATCCATACCCACATTCAAAACCCTTCTATTCCAATTCCTATCCCAAAAACAGTCAGATAGTTGCTAACCATTCGAGCTGATTTTAATAGAGAATTTGATATATTTTTATTTTTTAATTCTTTATTATTTTCTTAAGAGTGTATACTGGTCTATCAGTGCAAATAGCTTTAAGTGTCTTGTCATAGTATTAATTGTTTTGTATATAGTTTCGTTTGTTTTAGAATGTTTACCTTATATTTTCTTTACATTATTTTTTTTTTTCGATTGATTTTATTTTGGCCACATGTAATCTTTTTTATTTTGTTCTATTTTGTTATTATCAAGGGACTGTGTCCCAGAATAAAATTATTTTTCTATTCTATTCTATTCTATTACACTGAGTTGAGGTGGCTCTACCCATCCTATCGCCGTCAGTACTTCCTAGCCACCTTTCTGTACCAAACCATTAGAACTCATCGACCTTCCTATATTTTTTACAGCTTACAATTCAAATACTCTATCCAATCCCGTCCCACTAGTTCTCGTACTTCCGACCTTTATCCTCCCCTTCACCGAACTGCTGCGTTTGACAATTCCTTTGCAATACAAGCCGCCTCCCTCTGGAATTCCATCCCTGCTGATATTCGACACGCACAATCAGTTTACTCTTTCAAACCTCTCCTCTTTACACACCTACTCCTTTCTCAATCCGACTGATTGCGAAATATACTTAAGAGAAATATCTAAGCACCCCCAGAGGCTAACTCAATTTATTTAGGTAATTTTAGTTTCTCATATATATGTACAATTTTCTTGTTCTTTTCTTTCTCTTCTTCAGTATTTTTATTTTTAGTCAACTCTTATTGTAAATATATAATCTAATTGTAACCACACAGACATACAATCTGTATTTATAATTTGTTCTAAAGTGACAACAGTCCCAGAATATTAAAATATTTTTTCATTAAAAAAAAATATATATACCATGATATATACCATCATCTGCCGTGCCACACACTACGAGCCTTGCTTAAGTTCTTAAGGAAGACGAAGACTCTTTATGAATACCTTATTAAATTACTGAATATTTAATAGCTCGCCGATGCATTATAAAGGAAGGAGATGGTCCGGGGTGGTGGTCATAAATAGGCTAAATAGTGGCAAAACTATTTTATTAAAAAACAACGTTTCGATCCGATTTTGCAGGTCTTCTTCAGGGGAGTGTGTTCAGCTAGGAGTTTCACTTAGAACTGAAGTTCCTACTCCTAGCTGAACACACCTCCCTGAAGAAGACCAGCAAAGTCGGGTCGAAACGTTGGCTTTTAATAAAATATTTTGCCACTATTTAGCCTATTTATGACCGCCACCCTAGACCATCTTCTTCCTTACTAAATTACTATTATTACAAAAGCTTCTCTTAACAGAATTTTCAGTTGAATACACATCAGTTGTATGACCTCCCATCTACTTCTCGTGATTGAAGCTTGGATTTCAGGATTACTGAAAATCCATCGGTAAAGTGACAATCAGTGGTATATGTCACACCATGGTGGTCTCAAACCACGCCCCCATTCATCACCATACTTGTAAGATGCACTGTTATTCCAAACTTTTTTGTTATCTAAAAATTTACATTTTTTCTCATGTAAATACCAGTTTTTTTTAACTTTATTTCGTTACCCACACCTGTCGAAAATACTGACAACCTGTGATTCTGCTATCGGGAAGAATAATAGCAATAGCATTGATCAAAGTGAGGGATAGTGCCTAGCGGTATACATTTTTAAGCGAGTAAATCCCTCATCTAACTTCTTTTGAGCCGCCTCAGCCTTTTATCGGGCATGTGGGCATGCCTATGAGCCCGTGTAAGTTATCATGAAATCTATTTTAGGAGAGCACAGAAGGGATTTCAATGCCCGAATCGCTCACTCGAAGAGCAGCACATTTTGGCTGAGTTTTGAATTTTTGAGGGAGAAGCATTTCGACAGAGATATGAATATTCGAAATGAAAAGTATCAAACAATAGTGCAAGGGGAAACAGAAAACAGATAGCAAATATTGTAATTTCATGTGATTTACTTTCGCTTGCACTGCTGTTAAGAACAGAAGAGCAATAAACCATCTTGGGATCGACCTTGGAGAAGGGAGGTACACCTCTAATCTATTGTAGTGTGTCCGTATGTGATCGTTAACAGTTGGCATGTCAAACGTTTAAAATTAACCTTTATATTATTAAGGTAGGAGCAGTTTATTCATAATAGTCACTATTTTAGTTAATAACATGTTTCTACATAGTTATAAATATTTACGGGGTTATGCATTTGCATTTGCTACTAAAAATTATTGCAGCATGAACTATAAAAATAAGAAAAATTATGAGTACGGTGAACTTAACATAATAAGACACGTCAAGTTTCAGTAACTGAAACCTCAGACTTACGCAACCCGGATCCGAACAGAACCCTACGACCTTTCCGGAACGGCTTAACGAGGGACGTAAGTGAAATGAAAGCGCTTAGTGTATGTGTAGCGATTTGTGCAACTTCATCTTGACGGATAGTATCCGCCCATGTTGAGCAAACAACAAATTTACAGTAAATCTTCAACGTTCATATAAGGTATAATCCAGAGCTGAAATTACCTTCTCGTTGTAGCTAACTGTGCGAGTTGAATTAAATCGAAATGGCGCCGTGCAATATCCAGAAGATGAGTTTTCAATTTAATCAACCGCTGAATTAGTGGATTCCTCAGAATATAAATCTCATCGTATCTCATTGAAAATTGCCATTTTCACTTCCTCAAACGAAATCCTTGGGCAATTCTTGAAAAAATATACTTTACTTGTTAAATTAAATATAGAGTGTATACCAAAGTGTTAAATGAAATATTTTCTTTTTACATATTCCATATTGTTCTTAATTGGGTATTTACATGAGAAAAAATGTAAATTTTTAGATAATAAAAAACTTCATTTTTAGTAAAAAAAAAAACTTTGGAATGACAGTCCATCTTAGAGGTATGGTGGAGGCTGGGTGCGTGGTTTGAGACCACCATGGTGCGACATATACCACTGATTGTCACTTTACTGACAGAATTTCAGAAATCCTGAAATCCTAAGCTTCAATCACAAAAAGTCTTTGTGACAAAGGAGTTATTTCAACTAATGTATATTCATAATTTTCATATAATACAAACGGTTTTCATATGTTTATAAAACATCTTCAAACAAAAAGAATTTTCAAAAAATTAATGAAATGTGTAGTAAATTTTAAATAAATACACATTTTGCTTATAGAAAAAATTATTTTTTAAATGTTATGAATAATATTTGTTTTTTTATTTTTCCAAAATATTTATTTTTTAATTGATTAGTTGAGCTTATCTTTTTTTAACTTAAGTTAAAACGATTTCATGACATTTGGAAGTAATTATTACAGCTTCCATTTTCTTGTTCTATGCGCCAGCTCCAACACTGCCTGTTATCAAAACTAAAATGTCAGTTTGACGTTTAGGGCCCATCATGATTTTAGTGATTCATGTCAGTCTTCTGGCTGTCATTCCTGACTGAAACTGTAGGCAGTCCGTTTAATACAAAAATACAATAGTACTAGTGTATTTTAAACGTAGCGGATCATTTTTGATCTTGGTAATGGCTTTGGAGCTAGTTAGATACAAGGAAGGCGGTTGAGACCAACCCGAACCGCCCTTGGCATTAGTAGCTGCGGTTGAGCGGATCGCAATCGGGCGAGAGCAATAGCAATGGCTGCAGCAGCGTACCTTGCGCAACCCCTGATTTTAAGCTCACGCTCGGCGCTGTAATTACATATCTCGCTCGATCAACCCCCGGCCTTCGATATTAATAACACGCCGTCACCACAGAGTCAAGCATGAACTGATGAGGCTCCTTGAAGAGAGAGAATACGCCTGTTTCGAGGAAGTATATTGTATAGATACGGATGGATCCACCCGATATGCCGACATTGTAGCATTCTCTAAGACGGGAAAGTCGGCGATGATTTTGGATCCGACCGTGAGATATGAGACCAACGACCTCGATCAGGCAGAAAAAGTGGAAAGGGAGAAAAAACAGATATATGAGAAATGCATCCCTTTCCTTAGTGAAAAGTTCCGCGAGAGTTTCGGGCCGAGAGAATTCCACGTGAGAGGCCTTTGGTTCGGAGCTCGCGGAACGATACCAGACTCAACAAGGAGCTTCATGGAGGGCCTTGGTGTCGACATAAAGGACGTGGCAAGGTTGGCAGAGAGTATAATCCTCGACTCCCTGGGAATCATCCACCACCATGTGCATGGGAGCGGATAGGGGGAGAGTTTGCTCGCGAGGGGGAGGCATGCGTGTGTTACAGCATTTTTTATATTATTATTTATTGAACACGTCCACTGTACTTTATGAATTTTTTA